GAGAGAGAGAGAGAGAGAGAGAGAGAGAGAGAGAGAGAGAGAGAGAGAGAGAGAGAAGGGGGCATTGATTGATTGATTTGGGTGACCTGGAATTAATCCAATGAATCAAGCATCTTTATAGCCAAAGGGCCAAGAGGTTCCTGCTGTTTCTGGGATTTAACTGGGTTGGTCTTTCTCCCAATGTAAGTCTTGAAGATCTGCCCTTTAAGACAGTAGTACCCACAGAAAGAAACTGTTAATAACAGAAAATAAGACAGGAGGCAAGTGAATTTGTGGTCGGTTATAAAGTGAAGAGAGACTCCAAGTAATACAATCAGGTAGAAATGGGAGGTTTGGGACAGATCTAAGCCCTAGAAGTAGGATCAGTGGCAGGCTTGGATAGAGGCTCCTTGGGCATCTGAGCCTACGCATCTTCATAATGAGATGAAGTTACAAATGTTTACATGCATTACAAATGTGGTAGTAATTGAAATTTAAGAAAAAGAAAGAGCAAGGGACAGTCTGACAAATATATACGATCAAATCAGAAAGTTAAAAATCAAAGACAATACTCGCTTTATATGCAAGTAAACCATCACTTGCAAATTCCCTTGTATGTTTTTAACAGCAGTGTCCCAGAATTTCTAGACCTCCCCTTAATAGCAAAAGCTTCTTCTTCTTCTTCTTTTTTAATTCTCCGAGTAAAATTCTGTTGGGGCCCTAATAATAATTATTGAAGTTAAAAGATATTTAAGTACTCTAATTGAAAGTCGTTTATTCACCCAGAGGCCAGCTATAACACTGGTAGGCAGAATATTTCATTTCCCTCCCAGCCCATTCTGCTTCATAATAGTGCTGATGAAGCGAGGTGTCTCCCGGCCAAAAGCGATTCTGTTTCCACGGTAACGTGAGTCTTGGCTGCATTTCTTCAGTGGTGAAGGACAACTGCTCAGTCTAATGTATGTGCACTGGAAGGATGATTAGGAGCGGAGAAAGGAGTGAACCAAGACCAGGGAAGGTAATTTCACTCTGGCTGCCTGACACAAAAGCACCAGAATCCTAGAAAACAAACCCCTGCATCTTCTTCTTTTTAAAAATTCTACAACCAAAGGAAAAAACGTTTTTGCAGTGACATTCCCTCAAAGCAACTATCTTGCAAAGGAAGAACAAAAAGCAAAAAGACAATAACTCCATTTTAAATTTCTTTAGTCATCGCCCTTAAAATCGATGCCGGAAACATAGTCTATATAGCGGTATAATTGCTCCTGTGGGTCAATTGCTCCTCACTACTGTCAATGTATTCAGATTCTTCTATTTTTAAGTTCCTGTTGATTCCCTTGTTGTCTTTTAGAACACATGCCCCACGGTGTGGAATCTGTATCATCCTGAATTTCCTCCATCCGTATGCAACTTAGGGCAAAGCCACAATATTCAAGGAAGCTACTTATCCTGGGCTTTGTATAAGAAAGTAGCTCACATGGGATTGAATGTGGTTATTGTTTTGAGTTCATCTTCACTTAACAATTATTTATTGGATGACTGTTTGGCACTGAGCACTATAGTTTGTACTGCGGACACAAAGAACCAACAGTTCAATCAAATAACTTATATAAGCCAGCAAGGGCAAGAGAGAGAAGAGTAAGTTCCCATTCACTGTGCCCTATGAAAGTGCAATGCTAGACCTGGGCAGCGGAGAAGGCAACATATTCAGTCTCTGGGGAACTCTTAAGTGAGCATGGAAGAAAGGAGGTAGTGAGGGGGAAATGCATGCAGAATCTCTGAACGGCCTAGGGTGCAAGGCTCAGTGGCTCTAAGCCTGTGAGGAAGCTCCAGAAGCTGGAAGGGCAGTCAGGTCCTGAAGCAGAGTGGGTACCACTAAAGAGCAGAGTCTGAAGGAGATGGAAAAGCACATACAGATTTTAGGCAGTAGACTAACAAAACTAGATAACGGCTTGGAAGATAATTCTGATGATGAGTCATCTGAGAGGTGGAACTGGAGAAAGGAGTTGAGACTGGAGAAGAGAAACCAATCATAACTGAAAGAAAAAACGAAGGGCAAGCATAGGAGGGTACATCAATTAAGAGTGCTCTGTGGTCCAGAGATGTAGGTCAGTGATAAAGCACATGCTTAATGTGTCCAAGGGCCTGGATTCAACCCCCAGAGTCACAAGGACAAAAAAGTGATATAGCTTCAGCCGCCTGTGTTCAGATCCTGGTTTTACTATTTACAAAATGCCTGACATTTGGGGAAGCTAGCTGTGTTCTCAGTTCTGTAATTTCCTCATTTGTAAAATGTGAGTAACAGCAATTGTAAGATAATTGATAATTAATGGGGTTAACTATGTAATGATTTTAAATCAGTAGCTGGGACATGCAAATACTCAAGGGGGTTATACAAGGAAATCTGAAGCAGGGAGGAAAGAGAAGCAAAGGGGCAGGGAAAGTATATGAACAGCGAGGTATACTTCCAGGATTCCACACGGCTAAACAAAGATGATGTGTGGAGAGGGTTTAAGGTGCAAAGATAATGAATTTAACTGTAGCTTTACTGATTAGGAATTGTTTGTTATGTAGTCAAGTGGGAATGTCTTCTGTGGACTTGGGTACGTGAATATGGGATCCAGGGAAGTAATATAAAGACATATGAGAGTGATACAGGGTTGCAAATTGTGGGTAATAGAAATCATAGATTTAATATGGTTGTTACAAAGAAGTCTAGAGAGAGGCAGAGAATAGGGTGTGAAGATTCAGTGTTTGTGAGCTCTTACATTGAGAGGAGACAAGCAGATGAGAGCTCAGAGAAGGCACAGTCACAGAGAATAAATGGAGACTAGGAAAAATCAGCAAATCCAAGAACAATCTTACAATATATAATGACTTTAGGTCTATGGTGGATGGTGCATATGTGTGATTCCAAGATAATTTTCCCTACTCTATATTGTATATATTGACTAATATACATTGTTGTGAAAATATATGGCAGCCCTCTTGGCTTTCTTAATTTCAATCTACGATGTTTACAAATGACAAAAGTAGCTAGTGGTGTATTTCTCAGTATGCGTCCCATTGCTAAGGAACACACGACTATACAACACAGGGATAAATGTTGCTGAGATCAAAATTTGGGATTTGCAGAGTGTGTTGCCACCACTTCCCATCACCTAGCCACATTCTTTTTTTTTCTAAAGCAATAGAAAGTTGAGTTGCTCCAGATATTTTTGGTGTAAGAAGGCATGCTTATTTCTCTGGGATGCAAAAACCAGAGGGCCATGCCAAGCTGCCACTGGTTGAGAACACAAGCCCCCGGGCCTCTGTGTCACAGAGAAATAAGCACGTCTCACCCCACAGATGCTTCTGTTTTGTTTATCTTTTCTCCCAGAACTTAACTCTGACCAACACACTATATTTCCTTTCGTCTTTAGAAGGAAATATTTTAGGAGAAATACTGAACTACAACATTTCATTTTAAAAGTATGTGAAATGTTTAAAGTAGGAAATTAATTGTATTAACAACCAAGATGTTTTACAAGTTCAACTCTAAAAACCAGCTACAATTGGTGTTTTAAAAGAACTTCAGTTAAAAATTAAAGGTCTGGTCCCACCCCTAGATGGAGAGCTACAGGCAATTACTGGCTGCTGAGTGAGGGAGAGTGAGTCTTCTACAGGGACAAGCTCCCTGAGAGATTTGGACCATATTTTAAAAATTGAATTGCAATAGCTGTAATGACATCTTAAAACTCTTATTCCAAATCAGGTGAAATGAAGTGTGCATCTCAATACATTTTTTAAAAAAATTATATTTACATATATGAAACAGTGTTTTTCTTTAAGCATTGAATTACCATTAAAGTATTTTTAGAGACAAAAAAATTAAAGGTCTGAGTTCTACCTCAAAAGTTTTCTGTAGTTCTAAGTGAAACTTGTTTGTCAAGACAGAATATTCAGAATAAAATGACTAGGATGGCTCCCAGAGCAGGGATAGATGTGGCCCCTCTTTGGGAAGAAGATTGGAGATCTGTATACAATGCTCTAGGCTTCGAGGTGTCACTTTCCTAGGTGACAAAAAAATTAGACATGTCATTCCTAACAGAAAGAGCCTTGTCTGTAGCATGAAGAAAATCCAAGGTGTGCTTTCTATAGCTTGGTTATTCTTCTTGGGTAGGAGCCCAGCTTCTTGGACTAAACAAGGCAGGTTAGCCAGCCAAGCGTCAATTCATTCATATGGCCCCCCTATTTTCTCCTAGACTTAACTTTGTTTTCTAAGTGTGGAGAGTGATGAGGGAAAGTGAGAAGCAGATGGGAGAGTGAATGCTACTTAAGGAAGCCACAGTCCTTTGCCATGAGCCCCGTCTAGCCTGGAAATAATAGTGACTGCTGAAGGTATCCAGAGGTCCTGGTTAGAGTGTACAGTTCAGACCGGATACAGGTAGCAAGTGGGATGTGCTTCCATGGGATTAGGATAGGTGAGTCCCTCAAGATTCAGTTTTACTAAGGTATTTAAAGAGAAGCACTGTTTTCATGGGAGCAGGCTGGAAACTTGACATGAATTCTTAAAGTAACACTTCAGAGTTTTTGTTTCTTTTTCTCTTGCCTGTAGCTATGGCTCCAAGTAATTCCCTGGGGCTCAAGATAATTCTCTTCTGATTAACAAAAATATTTCAGTGAAAGTCTTTCAAAAGCAATAGCATAAGAGATGTTCAGAAAAATGTATCCATTTGGCTTGTAATTCTAAAGCCCTAGAGGTGAAAATGCCTCATTTGCAGGTGAGTGCTTTTAGGAGTCAAAGATGGGTGTGGAATTAAGGCCAGTGATGGAAACTGATGGGAACCATGAAGAGGAAAAAATGGGAGGGGTGTCCTATCTGTGACATCACCATGAAAAAAAGCTATGGAAAGCTGTCATGTGTGTGGTAAGACTGGCCCCTCAAAGAAAAGCTTTCCTGCAATTGAGATGGCATCTTCCCAGAATTTCCAACCAGAGGAGACAGACAGTCTAGAAGCTGGACAGGACACTGGGGTGCAGTCACGCAGAGTGGAGACAGGCAGGAAATGGGATGAAAGGAACTCTGGTCTGGGTTCCTTTCTGTTTGCAGTATAATGTGGACAAATCAAACCCTAACCAGTTTTTGTCTCAACAGTGGAATGGGTGCTTGTTAAGTATTAGTTGTGCTCTGACATTCAAGAACCCTATTTATTTTGGTGCTGACTCATGGTGTTGTCATGAAACAGTTTCCTTTCTGCACACTTTAATGCCAGGATGGGGGAATCCTTACAGCTGGCATTCTGGTACCAGGTTGGTTCTCTGAGAAGGCTTAGCGTCTTCTGGCTGGATAAAGGCTCAGTAACCTTTCATATTCAAGGTAGGTGATGCAGAGTAAGGCTCCATTCTCAGACCAACTTATATATATTACTTTAGAAAGTATCTCTTTTGAGACCCACCTGCTACTCTTCTATGGTGCTTATCAGCCTCTAACAATAATGCTGGCCCAAACTACAGACTGACTTAGTAACAGCTTTACTTTCTTATCTCTGTATTTCATGCATTTACTAAGTGTTGCTGAATACAGTGTTCTCATCCCTTGGGACATAACAGACATACAGCAGATAGATCTCTTCACCTAATGGAGCTTATATTCAGAGGGGCTAGGGATGTGCCTTAAATCCTGTATCCTTCTTCTATGGAGGTCTTGCCATCTCAAGACATTTAAAATCTGAACAAATGGATGTGGCATCCATTGCTAGTTGTGAATCTGTTCTTCTGAGCTCTTCTTCCAAATTCACAGAATTTGGTTTGGCAGTACACCCAGTTGAAATACAAGTCTGGTATTTCTCAAATTTCTAGTAGCTATGAGTGGCATAGTATACCTTCATAAGCATGTTTGCATGTGTGTTGTGAAATAAAACCACGTGTAAAATACTCCCTACAGAGTGAAGAGTGTTTCACAAGGAAGTAGTTTTTCTACTTCTTACAGGAAGTGTTGCCCGAAATTGGACCAGCCATCATGGGACCACAATTTCAAAGCTACAAGCTGAGGAATTTGTAGGAAAAAGCTGTAAGGAATTGCACAGGTCCTGGTTTACAGCAATGGAGAACTCTTGTTATGGATGAAAAATTAGTCGATTTTAGCTCAGTCTATTGTTTAGTTTTCTACCCAGAACAGGCAAATGCAACCATCATTAATCCCAATGGTCTTCTCAAAGCTTGAGTTGTGGTGATACAACCACAGTTAAAGTCCAAATCTGTCTCTTCCAAAGGCTGTGATATTTTCTGACCTTCGTGCACCTTCAGGATTTGTCCCCCATGTGCTCATCAACTTTTAGCTTCATAGAGGATGGATATGCTCAGGGATGTGTAGATGCTGATGCTGTTGGGATTCAGGATGGTGTTGTGGAATAGTCTTTTTGTGTACTGTGAAGACGTGTTGCTCTCATTGGTTTAATAAAGAGATAAATAGCTGATATTTAGACAGGAAGATGATAGGTGGGACTTGCAGACAGGGAGAGAGCATTGAGATGAAAGGTGTCATCAGAAGACACAGGGACAATCAAAATGAACATGTCTAACTGAGGAAAGGTACCAAGCCATGTGGTAGAACTTAGATAAGAAATATGGGGTAATTTAAGTTGTTAGAGCTAGTTAGTAACAAGCCTAAGCTACTGACCGAGCTGGCTGGCAGACAGAAAATTCCACCTACAGAATGGTGTTTCTGTGTGTATCCTGCAGTGTATGATTTCTCACAAGTTTGTTTAAATATGCCTTCCACCTCCCCTCCCCCAGTGCTTCTATCACAGCTCAGCTATCACTCCAATTAGCCACTAGCACAGCATCCTAGAACCTACTCTTCTCAGAGACTAGAACTCCAGGACTTTGTTTTATTATCATTGCAAGAAATAAATCCAAGCATCCCCCAAACCTTGACCTCACTGGAGGCCTAAGCCCAGTACTGGAGCCTATTGACCTCTCCCTCACAAGCCTTTCTTCTCTGTGTGGACTTTTGAATCCTTGACCATGAAAACCCCATACTTTCACTGGAACAGACAGCTTTCCTGCCACTGTTTATGTGTGAGCAAATTCTATGATTTTTCAACTCTTCCCACAACACTGGTTGTGTATACGCTAGTAAGAGGCTGGTGTGGAACACTCCCAGCCTGTTTGTTACAGGTGGCTAAAAGCAACTTGGTCAAACTTATCTGTGTCTTGATTCTCTCCCTCCCTACCTCTCCCCCTTCCCTTCTTCTCCTCTCTCCCTCTCTACCTCCCCTCTTTCCTATTTCCCTTCTCCATCTTCCTCTTGGAAAACTCATTCTGATGAGCTACATTGAAGCATTTCCTACATGGCACCATGGCACGAATTCTCAAATAATTAACACTCCTTCTCACAAAGTTACTGCGCGCACACACACACACACACACACACACACACACACACACACACACATACACACGCATCATCTATTTATTTTCTAACTGGGCTGCAGCCCCTCTCTTCCTCCTCCTCCCCCTTCCGTTAAAAGAGACAAAGCTTTAAGAGTACGCAAAACTGCTATGGAACAATAATGGCTAACCCATTATTGAACCTCAGGTATGGGAAACTCCAAACTATCTTCCTCTGATTATAAACTCATCCTCAGGAAAAAGCATATGAAAAATGACAGTTCCTTTTTCACCAGCTTCTTTTAGTCCTGTTCTCTACGCACTATGTATGAGGTGAGTGTGTAGACTGAAGCGTAATTTTGACAGTCTTCTTTAAAATACTTTGAAGCATCGCAATTTGTGCAGCCATATCTAAGACAACACAATTGCTAGGTGAGTTCTCTAATGCTATGTAACAAACCATGGTTCCAAAGCATATTGTGTTAAAACAATCATTTTGATTTTCTGTTACTTTTATGTGCTTACTCAGCTCAGCTGAGTGACACTTTGACTTTACTCCATCTTCTCTGGGGATGCAGTTGTAGGAGGACATCACTGCTCATTCATAAGTCTGGTCCCTTGACCGATAGTTGGATGTGTGGCTTTGCTGGAATACTGGGATGGCTAAACCGATTTCTCTACCTGTCTCCACATCTTTCTAACAAGATAGAAGGACATCTTAACTGGCTGTGTTACAAGAGAAGACATTGTTCTGCTTTCTTGGGGGCTTAGTCCAGCTACCATCACAGTGTCATACCTAGTGGGTCTAGGCTACTTGGCAGTGTGAAAGCTGGAAGCCATGGTTCATTGATTCTTCGGGAAACCAGCTTTGGAAATTATTACTCACTCTGCCACACATAGAAGTGACATGTGATAGGCCAAACTTTCCTTCTTAAAGTCAAACATATCATTATGTATATGAATTATAAAGATGTATAAATACCAGGAAGCATAGATAAACTACAAAATACAAATCTTAATTTATTGTGAAGCATGACTAAAACTTCCAAAACCAATTTGTATTATATTTAATTGTTATGAAAAGGAAACCACACTTTATAAATAGATGTGTACATTTAGAATGGCTAGGGTAATAGCAATTCAGTCACATCATGTCTTAAGTATTAATAATAAGCACTGGTTATTCTTTACACTTGATTTTATTGAATCCTCATAAAACTCATATGAGATAAATATTACTGTCTTCAGTTTCCAGATAAGAAGCTGAACTTCAGTGAGGTTTCATAATTTGCCTAAGATCTAGCAACAGAAAGAGATGGAATCCAATTCAACACGATATTAAAAGATATATTATTATGCTATTAACTTTTGTACTTTCTTTTATTTTATTTGTCCTTGCTTACTAGTTTTATAAATTGTCATAGAATATGTTCAGTTTCAATATAAACAAGAAACAAAGCTCATCTCCAGAGATTTTAAAACAACTTCCCTATCTAGACTCAGTGTGGACTTTAAAATCCACTTTTTTTTTGGCACTGGAATCCAGACAGTTCCCTCAATGCTCTCAGATCTGCAAGCATAGGTATCTATTTATAAACTTGAACTTCATCCAAACACCAAGGTTTGTTGAGTAAATTTCTCCCCCTCATTTATTGAGGTATCTAGTGGATCTGGCACCACAGCTGTGAGTCACAAACTCTTAATCTTGCTGTCTGAAGACACAGAGTCAGAACACCTGTGCTTTTCATTTTGCGGTAACATAATTTTGGAAACATCTCACCCAATCGCTTTATGTTATGAAATCTAAGTGATAAAAGATTTTGTGATAGGAACTGCCATTGAACTCTGCACTGATGTATGGATCATAATGGAAAATCAGGGAGCTGTTTAAGGCATACTGGAATGCTAATGGGCTTCCCATACTCTCCTGACATGGGGCCTTTACCGTCTTCTCCTCAAGACTGCCTTTTGCATGTAATTGCTGCCCTCCAAATTAGTCAAATCCAAGTCTAAACACCACATTCCAAATCAAGTTTTCTTCAGCATTTGAGTTGAAATATTTTTCCTCTGGAATTTTGTAGGAGTTAGCTATTATTATGCAGAAACACCATCCCCAAATTTAAAAGACTAACAACTGTTTGCTCACCATCCTTGGGTTGAAGGTTGGGCAGCTTCGCTAGGATGGCTTGTCTCTCCGTGATGCTGACAGTCTGATGACTTACTGTCAGCTGATCAGCAATGTCTGGTCAGGTGCCTGAGGAGGACTGCACTCACCTGTCTAAGGCCTTTTCAACGTTTCTTGCAATGGCTGGGTAGTTTTTGCACTTCTCTTTTTATGATCTTAGAGTAAAACTCATCATGCAGTCATGAAACATCTCTTTGCCTCCTTTCATTAGTCACAAGGCCAGCTCAGAAACCGATGGTGATGCTCTAAAAGCAAAGCTCCAACCAACACTTTTTAAATTATAGCCTTTATTGTTTTAATTTTCTGAAATATTACTGTAATCTTTCCAGTCATGACTAGAAAATTTAGAAGTATAAGCATCTTTAATTGAATGTTCTCCATAAACTATAGTTGTTTTTTATTTTAAGACTTGAACAAGCCAGGCGATGGTGGCATGCCTTTAATCCCAGCACTCAGGAGGCAGAGCCAGGTGGATCTCTGTGAGTTCAAGGCCAGCCTGGTCTACAGAGTGAGCTCTAGGACAGGCACCAAAACTACACAGAGAAACCCTGTCTCAAAAAAAAAAAAAAAAACATATAAAAGCCTTGAACTGATTTTGTACTAATAAAGAAAATTCAGAGGCAATACAGTTTCCAAACACTCTGCACACAGCTTCCCTATGTTAATATAGCAAACAATCACAATATAACTGTCAGTAAAAGGAAAGTGACCTCTTTCTAAAATCAAGTGTCCCATACTTATTCTTTTTTTTTTTAATATGTTGAATGCTTTATTCTGATTGGATGTCTCTATAAACTCTGAGGGCAAAGACCACAGATGTGATGCTGTATCAGTCACAATGCAAAAGGTTTGTGAAGTGAGGCTGGTATTTCCCGCTATTCTTGACCTTGATCAGTTGGTTAGAGTATGTCTCTTACAATGAGGTTACCATGGTACCTTCTGATGTCAGAAATTACTGGTAGAGAAACCTTGAGACTTTGAAATCTGTGCTCTCTAATTTGCACTCAGTGATTATTACATTTATTAGTGGGTTTTACATGAAGCAGTTACAATGATGATGATTGACTACTAGTGGATTTTTCTATTTTCCTTTACTTCTGTCTTTATATGTTGAAATCTACTGGAGAGCTGGTTTATTCTCATTTATTTATATCAATATGTTTGTTGATATTCATTTTACTATATTGGTTATAATTCAATACTGGCTTTATGTTTGTATGCATTGATTTATTTTGTGGTGTGTGTGGGTGTGTCTCTATGTGTGGTGTATGTGTGTTTGCAAGTGTGCATGCAGATGTGTAAGCCTGTCCATGTGCACATAGAGGTCTAAGGAAAAGGACACCAGGTGTCTTCTCTTGCTCTCTTCCTTAGTCCTTTGTGATAGTCTTTCACTGAACCTGGCACTGCCCATTTTTCAGCAGACTGGCAGCCAGCAAGTCCCAGCAGCCCTTCAAGTTCTCCTGTTCACCACACCGCACCAGTATGCACTGCCATGCCTAGCTTTTTCATGGATACTGGGGATTTCCAACTCTGCTCCCCTTTCTTGTGTTTGTGCAGCAAGCGCTTTTGCCCACGGTGCCTCCTCAGACCAAGGCTGTCAAATTTGTGAGCCATGTTTTAAATTGGAACATAATTTGCAAATACAGAAGCATCCAATAAGCTCAGAAGATTCTGATAAATGGAAGATATCAAAATTCTAATTACACATATCTGTATTTAAAGGTCTATTTATTTGAGCTGAAATACTTTTGAAATTTTCATCTTTTTGCCTTTGTTTGGATTCTTTTCTTTTCTTTAACAAGTGAAAAAAACTACCAAACTATTTCTATTTATGATTTTTCAAAATGTGGTATTGTAAAATCTAGTACAAAATATAATTTTGTCATGTTAAAGAAGAGCATCAAGCCAAGCATGGTGGCTCATGACTGTGATCCCAGCACTCAGGAGATGAGGCAGGGGGATCATAAAGATTTCCAGGCCAGCCTGGGCTATGGAGTGAGACACAATCTCAAAAAATGAAGTGAAATAAATTAGAAGTAATCCTTCAAAAGCTTCTTTCCACGAGCCAAGTGTATGAAAGTTCAGTTGCAGAATTTCAAAAATATTGTATACAGCATGAGTTCTTATTGTTTAATTTCAAGCTCATTCTTTGTTTTGGTAAGGATAAATTCCAATGTCTTCTTGTTTATAATATTTTTTCTATAACTGCAGCCTGTAGACATCAAAAATCTGCTTCTGAATGCACTGTGATACCATTCCACAGGCCTCTTCACAAACTGGCCCACAGCCACTGTAGGGAATCTGCATTCTAAATCCTGATTAGGGAGCAGCAACAAAGAAGGTCTTGACTGCCATGCACAAGATAATTTGATAGTTTAACAGCAAATTCATCTTCAAATATTGCACATCTCCTGTGTGCTATTTTCATGTATAGAAAAGTATGCACACATTTTGACCAGTTTTTATGGGAATAAAATACCAGCTTCATCACCTGCATATCACAATTTCTTTACTATAGATTTTATTAGGTTAAAAACATTGTTTACTTGTGATTCTTTGCTTTACCTATGTGTATTCATATTGTCACTTGCATTCACAATGTAATATTTTTGAAGATCTGTTTTATTTTTAATTCTCTCTCTCTCTCTCTCTCTCTGTGTGAGAGAGAGCGCGCGCGCGTGCACATGTAAGTGTAGGTGCCCACAGAGGCCAGAAGAGTGTGTTGAGATCCCTGAAGTTAGAGTTACCAGTGGTTGTGAGCCACTGAACATGAGTGAAACATAATTCATCTGCAAAAATGTACTCTTAACTTCTAATCATCCCTTCACCCCCTACAATATTGAATTTTTAAGTCTTGGTTACAGTAACACTTACAATAAGATTAGACAATAAATTTCTTAATAATAAATTTCCTCAAATATTTTCTGGTTTTGCAATTTTGATTTAAAAATCTGTTATTAGAATGAACTGGCATTCCATATTCACTTTATCTATTGACAGACACACCCATCATTTAACTGCAAAACCTTTATTAATGGTGTCGCCTCACCAGTAGCCACTGCTTTTATACGTTTTATAGGTTCAAAGAACCTTGGGTGTAAGGTTGAGGGAAATTAATGGAGAACAACTGTTATCTCTTGTGAACAATAGCGTGTGAACCATCTTGCTATTTGGAGTGGTTCATAAACACACTTTAAGTAGCTATGTATGTCCAATCACCTGCCTTGAGCAATCTTTTTAAAACAGTGACTCATGTTTTCTGATGTGAATGTTGCTGCTTCTTCAGCAGATTTCTGTCTCCTGGTTGGTTTGTGGTCGTTGATGGCAATGTTGAGGTCCCTATGGTATATGGGGTAAGTATTCTGATTTTCATATGTTCATCCTCAAGTTTCTTGAGAAGTAGGAAAATCAATACTTACATTATATGAATACATTAAGCCTTTATGTCTGAAGGACTTATTGCAAAGTTAGAATAAGCATAACCAAATAATAACAAGAGTGGTGGATATACAGCATACAAGTGACCTGACTGCTGGTGCAGGAACAGACAGACACTCCTAAGTAAAGCTGCCAGCCTCTATTGCCCATACACATTTCATTCACATCTACTTTGTAAATCCCTGCATGTCCCACCAACTCCACTGATTGGCATCCTGATGGCTTCATGCTTCTCATAGGCCATAGTGTATGCCACTCAGCATAGGCCATGGCACAACTAGCTGCTGCACCCAATGATGATGGAGGGCCACCAGAACAATGAGGAGCCATTTCTAGATATTCCGGTCCATGTGTCCTCACTGTATCTGCCAGTGCCCTGTATGTGGCACTCCAAAATGCTAGGACAGGAAATAGGCTGCATCTCAGTTTACTGTGCTACACTACTCAACTCAGTCAAGGGCCAGGCCTCTCACAACTCACTATGAAAGAGATGGCATTAGAGGTTGAACTATCTGGACTTCAAATTTGTTTTCAGTATCATCTGTCCTTATTCTGACCTTCAGATGTATTCCCTACTCCTCCTCTACATGATCCTTCACACCAGCTTAATCACTTACCATTTTCTAAATGTGTTTACTACTTTCTATTAATGATAAATAGAAAGAAAGTTCCAAAGAACATCTTTGCCCTACCTGGACCATACTTATCAAAAATATTATGAATGACTTTAAACCTACACAGTATCTTGTAGTCCTTCCTTGATCCCCATCCAAAATGTTCTCATTAAGGTTTTTGGTAGCATAAAAACACTCTGATGGCAATCAAACACACACCTTCACTTCAAGGAGAGATCTTACTGCGCGCTTAGGAGGATCAGAGATGATCTTTTCCACTTCACTCTGCCCAACAGTGCCACATGGCATCTTCCTCTGCAGGCATGCTGCTACTCACAACTACTCATAGGATGAACTGATAAAAGGCTAGCGATCCCTACTAAAGTGAAAACGTGTACAGCCTTATGAAGAAAGAAAACATTATCTCAGTTTATTGGGAATGCTGAACCACAAGGAAAGATAGAATTTAAACCTGACTGAATCCTTTCATAATCCTTTCATAAGATCAGTCTGTTGCCTAAATTTTGGACCCGCAGAGATACTAAATAAGAACCATTTTGTTCCTTTCTATAAGTCTAACGTCCACTAAAAAAGAAGATTCAATAAAGATAGAATGTGTGTGTGTGTGCAAATATAGAAAGTGTGTGTGTGTGTGTGTGTGTGTGTGTGTGTGTGCACGTGCACATTTGCCTCAAAGAGGTGTTCTACAAAGATTAACAGCAATGGTCACTCACAGGAGAGACAGTGGGTTTGGAGGAGTATATAAACAATCCTTCATCCTTACTCTATAGATCCTCGATTGTTCTACTATTTTTATAACATGTAATATATGTAAAATTACAAAGTGATCATTTTAAAAAAGAATTCTTAAGCTACACAGCACTATGTAATGATACATAAACCTCCTTCAAGGAGTTATTGCAATGCTCAAGACATGAAGAGAATAGAATTTAGGCTGAATATTTTTCATGTGATATTCTCTGCAGTCATTTTTAAAAACCTTGTCAGAGTAAAAACTATATATGTGTGTATGCATACACACACACACACACACACACACACACACACACACACACACACACACACACAAAGGGAGCATGTGAAGGAGCCAGACCTGTAGATCCAAAGGTCCAGGATCTCCATGACACAAAGCAACAATAGTGTCTTAGTTAGGGTTTCTATTGCTGTGATAAAACCCCATGACCAATGAGTAAGTTGGGGAGGAAAGGATTTATTAGGCTTACACTTTAGCATTACTGTTCATCACTGAAGGAAGTCAGGACAGGAACTCAAAACAGGGCAGGACTCTGGAGGCTGGAGTTGATGCAGAGGCCATAGAGGGGAGTTACTTACTGGCTTGCTTCCCCTGGCTTGCTCAGCCCACCTTCTTATAAAATCCAGAACCAGCAGCCCAGGGATGGCACCGCCCACCATGGGCTGGGCCCTCTCCTTTTGATCACTAATTGAGAAAATGCCTTACAGCTGGGTCTCAAGGAGGCATTTCTTCAGCTGAGGCTCCTTCCTCTCCGATGACTCTAGCTTGTGTCAAGGTGATCCACAAAACCACCCAGTACAAGTAAGATATCCAAAGGCAGTCCCATTGAGGACCCATTATCCATAGAGGAGCAGAAGCCAGAGGCCTTGAACCAGACCAATGACTCTGCAATGAACACTTACAAGTAAAGATGTGTGGACTAAAGTGTGTTCTGTGTGACTCATTGGGCCACACTACAGCTACCATACCAAGATTTATTTATTTATTTATTTATTTTTGCTTGTTTTGGTTCTTGTTTTTTTGGTTTCACTTTTAAATTTTATTTTGGGGGGTGAGGTTGCAAGGGCAGAGGGTAGAAGTGAGGGGCCAGGAAGGTGAGTTGCATAGGGATACATGATGTGAAATCCACAAAGAATCAATAAAAAAATAAAATAAAAAATGAGAGAAAAATTTAAAACAGGAGTAAAGTGGAAAACATTGAAAATATAGATGTTGTCTAAGTTCTTTGAAGACCATATACTTCTCATGTAAAATATTTACAATTTAAAAATCAGCAAATTCATAGATTTATGATAAAAAATCCATTGTGACTGAAATCAGGATAGCTATTAAAATGTTTAATTATTTAAGGACCAAGGAAGCACTAGCCATAAAACAAAATGAAAGCCCATCTGGAAAGCAGAGAGACTGAAAGAGTGAAAATTAAAAAGCGAATTCTGTCTGTGCTCAGTGCTACGGAGGGACCCGAGCCAATGGCTATAAACCCATTTGGAGATAAATGTAAAGTTTGTGTAATTACCATGAACCCGAAGGCAGACTCAGTATTTATATATCACCTGGGAAGCTTTGTAAGTCAGGCACATAAAACCAAAGTACCAGGGGGTTATTAAAATACTATTTCCTGTTGTATTGCAGAACCCAGGAAGAGAACAAACATACCGATTACTTGCATGGCTGGATCCACGTCTGTTGTGGCCTCTTCCAACATGGCCAGTAGCTTGGCTGATATCTGGTGCACGGATTCGATGTTGCTGAACAAGCCCTCCACGTCCAGCCTGTCAACCTGAAGAAGCAGAAGCTCTGAGCACCAGCGGATAGGAAGAGAACTATGGTGTGCACTACACTTCCTCCTACTAAACAGCAAGGATTTTTAACTGCCAGCCCATGCCACTACCCTCACCTTGCTCTGTGAACATGCTCATTCAGGACTTCTAAATGTGAATGTATAGATTTTCATCAAGGACATTATGATGATGTATCATATCCATGTCACCACCAACAAAAACGTTTGACTTGAGTGTGTAGCAGAATTTCTTAATAGAAACCAGATTGGGAAGATTTAGACCTAATGGTATTTTTATAACTGCCCTTTATGCAGGTATGTACCGCTGAACTTAGAATATTTTACTGTCAGACTGGAGAGATGGCTCAGTGGTTAAGAGCACTTGCTGCTCTTCTGGAAGACCTGAGTTCAAATCTAAGCACCCACATCAGACTGCCCATAACTTCCTGTAACTCCAGCTCCTAGATCTGACACCTTCTTCTGGCCTTTGTGGGTACCTGAATACATATGTCATAACACACACAAACACAAGAAATTAAAAATAGAGTATTTTACTGCTTTCACAGAAACACAACCATATCTTTTCCAAACAACTATTTTCAAAGCTGTTTTAAACCACAGATGTTCTAGAAGGGATGGCAGATAAATGTGCTGGGCTACTTCTTGCTCCCTCCTTTGGAATAAATATACTAATTAAGGATTGTCATGTGTTATAATTTCAGGATGAGTCTCAAAAATCACTGTGATCATTCTTAAACTCTATGCTTATCATAAAATCTTATGTATTCATCTTTCATCAGCGATTTCCTAGGTGCCTTCTGTGTCCTAGGAAATGCAACAGAAGAGAGAGCTTATCTTAGGGAGTGACTAGTAGAGAGAGGGATAGCTGACTGCCTTCAATCATCTGAGTGTGGTGAGAAATGCACTGACTTGGTTTTAATTTTAAAAGTATTTCTTCTTTCATAATTAAATCACATTTATTCAGGGGTCCAACTACCTTGGTGTAGGATCATCTGAGGTTAGTATACAACAAAGAACAGGAATTGGTTCCATTTGTCCATAATTTATTATGCTTGAGGTTGTGGATAGCCAGGTGATTAGTAAGCTTGGCATGGAGGAGCTTCAAAGGAAATGAGCAGAACTGTTGAGAAAGGTCATCAAAATCAGAAGAGGTCAGTCCAGTCAAGGAAAGAGGTTAGTAAAAGTGAGTCTAAGCAAGAGACAGACCTGGGAGCCAGGCGTTGGCTTAGTGGGTAAAGCACAGTAAAGTGCTTGCTGTGTGAGCAAGACGACGTGTCTGGATCCTTGGCATCTTCTTAAATAGCAAGATGTGGTAATGTATGCTTGTAATTTCAGCACCAACCTGGCAAAGACAGGAGAATCCCTGTGGCTCACTGGTCAGCCGGTGTAGCCTGACAGGATCCATGAGCTCCAGATGGCACTACAGCAGCAATTCTCAGCCTTCCTAACGCTGAGAGCCTTTAGTACAGTTTCTCATGTTGTGGTGTGACCACCAACCACAATATTATTTTTGCTGCTACTTCATAACTGTAATTTTGCTACTGTAATGAACTGTAATATAAATATCTGTGTTTCCCGATGGTCTTAGATGACTCCGTGAAAGGGTCATTCAAACCCCCAAATGGGTTGTGACTCAGATGCTGAAGACAGCTATTTTTTGAGTTTGTCTCAAAAAAAGAGGGTGTGTGTGTGTGAAGAACTATCAAGGAAGAAATGCCCACCTCCTTCCTTTCACCTCTGGCTTCCATTCACACAAGCATAGGTGAGTGTATCTGCACAGAGAGAGAGAGAGAGAGAGAGAGAGAGAGAGAGAGAGAGAGAGAGAGAGAGAGAGAGAGAGA